GTATCTCATGAGTAACATTAGACAGAAATTGGATTAAGACAAATGAAAACTTCTCTTTTTCTCACATATCAGGAAAAACTTCTCCTTATTCAAGTAATACTTTTTAAATCGATCTCTTCAATCTCTTCAAGTATATCATGGGAATGCCACAACCAAAAGCACTCAAAAGAACTGTGATGGAGAAAATTACGTATGAAGGTACTATTGACATTAATTGAAGTGAAATTTATGTGAAATGTCTCGCTTACAAAAAGGATATGATACAAAGATTTGTTATGTAAACACAAATAATTAAATATTTAAATCTTCATCCATATTTTATATAGTGGCATATTGAAAAAATTAAATTACAGTTTGAAAGGCTGAAATAACCTGAAGCAGTCTCTTGCAGCTACATACAGAAAGGTCTCTCTTGTGTAGCAAAGCCATTGAAGCAAATATAAAGGTAAATTAAATAAACATGGTCATGAAATTTAAATGTTAATTTTGATCATAAACACTGTTTTTACTTGTTAGAAATTCATTGACAAAATTTTGGGAAAAGAAAACAGTGATATTTATTTTAGAAAAGAGTATTTTTGGTATTTCATGGTGTGATAGATATTTTTCAGTAGAAATTAGGGTTTTTTATACTTTTTTATTTCAGCCACTTTTTAAGATAACTGCTTCCGTAGAGTGTAGTTTTGTAATTATTTATGAAGAATTTCATTTATGGATTATAAATTTTCTCATAACTTGCAGCTTGTTGGAATCTGCAGTAGGATGTTTTCATGAAACCAAAAATATAGAGAAATATATCTGTAACCTAATTACCATTTATCTGAAAAGTACTTGGAAGCATAAATCTAAGATACTAAATAAAGCAACTTACAAGTAAACATGAAACAAAATATACAGTAGCAGTCCTCTCAGTTGTTGAACAAACTTATGGCTACCACAATTATTCTATTTACTATCTGACTCAATATTATGTGGAAAATTTCTCTCTCCTCCCAAAATGGAGTAACAGGGAATGGATTGAGCCTCATGTTTAAACGACCAGTCAAACAGAGAAAGTATCTGAAACACCTGTTTTCAGACACTGGCTATCAAGCAATGCAGGATAATCATTCCTGAGGGGGGGAGAAAAATCGGTGAGCCTTTCAATCCTCTGGATTATCGTGGTTTTGAGGCGGCACCACGAGGACAGTAAACACAGGTACATCTCAGAAATGTTGCTGATTTGAGCAGGGGAAGCTGGGAATGTGGTGGGCTGAGGTGGCTAGCCGTTACAGGACAGTGTACTGGAGAACAGGGGACTTCCCAGCATGCTCCAGAGTTTTGCTAAGGGTCCCCTTGTCATTCAGGTGAATACTACTTACTGGTCAGGATACCACCTGAGGCTGGGGAAAGAGTGATCGCAAAGGGGCAGAGAGAATTCTCAAAACACACCTGGAGCTGAGAATAGTTTACACTCCCACCAGTGAGAGTGCAAAACCTTGTGATTCAATGGCAGAGAGCACCAAGAAGGCCATGCCCAGGAGTGAAATGATCACCCCTCAGATGTAAGCCTTGAAAAGGTCCAGATGTTTCCAAGTTAATTAACTCCATCCCAGAACAAAGCTATTTATCAACGTTAGTGAATATCCAGCACCCAAAAAGAGGAAATTCTGCACGTTGGGCTTCTGATCAAAATATAATCCATAAAGAGGAACAACATAAAACAACAGAAGAAAACTCAGAAATCACACAAATGACAGAATTTTATAGTCAAAGACACTGAGTTATGATAATTGTAATATATATGTTCAAGAAGTCAGATAAAAGAGGGAGCATATTAAGTAGATAGAAACATAGAAGATATTTTTTAAAACTAATCAACATTCTAGAGATAAAAAATATAATGCATGAGTTGAAAACTACACTGGATGAGATTATTATCAGATTAAACACTAGTAAAAAAAAGGTTAATGAAATTGAAGATATTAGAAGAAAAATATGTAAAATGAAGACATAGAAAAAATAATAAATTAAAAATGAGAACAGAACATTATTAAACAAAGGAGCCATTTCAAGCAGCCTAATATACATACAATTGGAATTCCTAAAGGAGCAGAGAGATAAAATCTTGAGAGCTAATGGCTAAAAGTTTTCCAACTTTGGTTAAAATTATAATTTTATGATTTTATGAAGTTAATGGAACTCATGCACAAAAAAAAAAGAAAACCACACCTATGCACATCATAATCAAATTGGCCAAAACCAATAATAAAGAAAAAATTTTAATGCAAAAGAGAAAAAAGACCTATTATATACAAGGGAAGAATAAGATTAAGACCAGATTTCTCATTAGAGACAATGCAAACTAAAAGCCAGTGGAGAAACATCTTTAAAAGAATTTTTAAAAACTACCATTTAGAATTCTTTAATCCCCCCAAGAGTGAAATAAAGACCTTTTCAGAAATATGGGACTGGTACAATTCAGAGTCCGCAGCTCTGCTCCAAAGTGTTAAACGGGTGTCTGTCCAGTACGCAGTAGGAAAACAACACTTGACAGAAATCTGGACCTACAAGGAGAGTAACTATTTCTAATATCTTTAAACATAATTGACCATGTCACAATAGCAAGTGTGCTATGGACTTTTTAATATATAAAGTAGTAAAATATATTCAACTATGGCACAAAGACTAGAAGGAAGGAAACAAAAGTATATTGTTTAAGGTCATGTTCAAAAAATGAGTGATGTAATATTACTAGGAGGTAGACTATGAGTTTAAAATGTCTATCAGAAACCATAAAGTCACCACTAAAATAATTTAAGAAAACTTACAGAAATACAGATTCTACACGAATTCTTTCACAAAATCACAGAGAAAGGACTACTGCCCAACTCAGTGTGTAAGGCCAGCAGTTCCGTAACACCAAATCAAACAGGATTACAACAGGAAACTACCGGCTAAGATTCCTCGGTTACACAGGCATAAAACTTAACAAAAATATGAAGAAATCAAAACCAGTAACACATATGACCAAGTAGAACTTACTCTTGAATAGCATAGTTGGTTAAACATTAAAAAATCAATGAATGTAATTCAATTCTATTAGGAAATAAATCTCAGTTGAAATAATTCTACTATTTTTTAAAAAATTTTATTTATTTTTCAAGTACAGTTTTTTGTCTATTTCTCCCATCCCAGCCCCCCCCCCGCCCCGTCTCCCCACCTTCCTCCATTTCCCCCCACTCCCAGTCCTTATCCCTGTGTCTTTCATACTTGTTCCTCAAAATCCCTCCCCATTTTTCCCCTTAAATTTTCTTCCCTCTCCCCTCTGGTCGCTGCCCACTTGTTCTCTATTTCAGTGTCTTTATTTTTATTCTGTTTGCTTGTTTGTTTTGTTGTTTAGCTTCCTGTTAAAGGTGAGATCATATGGTATTTGTCTTTCAATGCCTGGCCTATTTCACTCAGCATAATGCTTCCTAGTTCCATCCATGTTGTTGCAAAGGGTAGTAGCTCCTTCCTTCTCTCTGCTGCATAGAATTCCATTGTGTATATGTACCACAATTTTTTGATCCATTCATTTACTGACGGGCACCTAGGTTGCTTCCAACTCTTGGCTATTGTAAATTGTGCTGCTATGAACATTGTGGTGCATAGGTTCTTTGAAATTGATGTTTTAGGATTCTTGGGATATAATCATAATTGAAAGTTTATTATAGTTCTATAAAGAAACACCCATAGTCATCTGTAAGCACCTCGGTAAAAATATTTCTCATGACTGATATAATGATTGTAAGCAAAGGGTAGAAAGTGAGCACTACCTATCCTGACCATCCAAGTTGTTCTCTGCGTTTTATTACTCTGGGAGAGGGGAATATTTCAACTTTATTACACAAACTGTGGTCTGGCATCCAGAACATATTACTAGTATGTTCCCAAAAGAAAATCCAATTTAGAAAGTTAATTTCTAACCATTAAATATTCATAAGCATTCTAAAGTAACTATGTAATTTCCTTAAAAATAAAATACAATTAGATAACCAAGAAATAAAGGGCATGAAACAATTAAATATATAACAACTATATCCATTGTATTTCCCATTTAATATACTCTATAGATTTTTTTCAGTAAATCATGATTTTTAAAAATCACTCCAACCTCCTCCAATCACAGGGGCATTAATATAAATAAAACATGCAAACATTTGTAGTCACAGATCATAGGCTGTAATTTGTTAATATAAAAGAAAGAGGAATGACCTGTAAATTTTTAAAAGATTTTGAAACAGACCGACCCAGCACAGGACTGGGCAGGTGCTACTCAACAAACTAACTGGAATCAATTCAAATTATACAGTCATAAGAGAATGAACAAATGAACAAGTCCCGAAATTACAAAATGAAGACTCTCCTCTCATAAAAAGTATAAATTAAGAAGTCAGGCCTTGGACATTTCAAGATAGAAAGAACATCTTAAATATTTCCTAGCAATAAATCTTAAGTCTTAGCAGCCTATCACAATAAAAAAGAAACATACAACGTACATAGACACATAGCAGAGAAAAAATATCAGCAGTAACAATCAGTGGGTCTGAAAGAACTAACTATTAAGTACTGCTAATGCTTAATTTTTAGTGAAAATTTAAATTGCCTTCAGTATACAATAAAACAAAAATGAGATTACTAAACACAGCAAATACTTTCAAGTGGTATTGTAGGAAAAGAATATCTATTTAACCCTCAGTTAAAGTACACAATTAATCAGAAAACCCCAAAATCTAGTTATTTCAAGTTTGATGTATTTTTAGAACATAATTTCAGTAAAAATTATATTCTTTGATTGATTCAATATTCTTTTATGAATTTTTATGCAGACATTAATCATCACAAACATTCGTGTACCCTTTTATCATATTATTAACAACATAGAAATCCAACTATATCATCACTTTGAAAGAAACCACATTCTTTTTCTAATGAAAATACTCAATAGTCACTAGATTTAATACTATTTGGACACTCACCTGTATTTTAACGGGCCAGGAAAAGTTACTGACGTACACATAGAATGTAATATTAGGATTGCTTCTAAAGTTAAATTTTTCATAGGAAAAACTATCTCTGTATTCCTTGATATTAGTCTTGGAAACTATGGGAGTCTCCTCCCCAGATATTGTTCCAGCTGAAATGTAAATAACAATCACAAAATTAGTAATTCATATGACGAAACAGATCTTTAAGAACTTAAGAATATATATCATACTTCTTTTTATAACTGCATATAAGAACATAATTATTAAAATAAACTCATCTTTACAATTTAGAGCGATGAAGGGGAAAAATAAGATTTGTCCTTAATATAATGAAATAGATTCAGGATAAAAATAATTTTTCAAAATCATACTACTGATGAAGTACCATGTTCTAGGCACTAGCTTAGAGACTTTTATTCTTTTCTAATAACAATTTTATCCCAGAGGTGTTCCAAGTTCCATTTCTAGTTTTTGAATTGGAACTGGTGTCTCGGAAGGATGAAAGCACTTGTCTCCAGTACGTAGCGACTGATGGTAAACTCCTCTTTGGGACTCAGGTGTATGTGGCCCCAGAAACTGAGTTCTTTCTACTTATGTCTCCATGGAGCTTTGCAAAATAAATCAGGCCATATTTTGCATGTCTCAATTAAGTTAAAAAATGGGGAAAAATCTATTTATTTGTCTTACCACAAACTGATACACCACTAATTTGAATAAATTGGAAGGAGGCTGTAATTTAAAATGTGAGCTAAGTGCTTAATCAGTTAAACAAATATTAGGTACTCAATAAATATTTTATGAAATTAACCAAATGAAACAAAGCATTTCCGATGATCTTACCAAGCCCTCCACTTAACAAAAAATAAAATTATTAAAATTATACACTGAACACCTGAATTAATTTCTAACTGATCATTATTCCAAAATTGCCATGAATGCTTTTTAAAAATGCAGATTTTTTTTCCTGACCTGAATCTCACAACTTGATAAATAAAAATTTCTGACATTTGGTTCTGGGTATCTGGGTTACAAGTAATCTCTTGCATACTAAAATCAGTGTTCTAACGTGATTACAGAGTTCTATATATTTTTATTGACAAATCTTAAAACTTGTAGAATTGGTTTACTGCATAGAAGTAAACTTCAAATTAACAGTGCAAGTGATCATGAATCATTAATTAATGTAACTCCCGGAGCCAAGACTTTACCACATGTTTGAATGACGTAACAAAATGTCCATGTTTGCCTGAACTTCTCATTTTTATGCATGTTTTATAAGTGATGGAATGTCAAAGACCTAATCACTCTTGAACTGTTTCCACGATCCTACATATTTAAATAACATGACTTAATTTTCACAAATCAAATAAAGAATACCTCTTTAAAAAAAAGTTTCCAGTACTTTTATGCAACAGCATATCTTTAACATAGAAGATAGGAAGCAAGAGAATTTCCTAATATGTAAATACATAAAAAATAGTGAACATAATTTTTCATAATCCAACATATACATTTGTACTTCTTCTTGGTTACATTTTTTTTAAAGTCAGCAGTTTAATTTATGAAGCTTATTATGGAAGGCACGCTAAGTATTGGTTTTGTTCTTAACCCTCTTGCGGCATCAAAGCTGACACAGAGGGGCAACAGATTTCTAAACTTGAAAGTAATAGATAAATTGTTAATTCATCAGCATTCACAGAAGAATTTCATTGCCTTATACCAATATGAGGTTAGTAATTAAATTTACAGTTTCAATAGTGAATCAAACCATTAATATTTTAAGTTATTTAAAAAGTAATCTAAATTAAAATCATAGCAATTCATGGCACTGCCATTTAAAAAAAATTGTCATGTACCATATTTGTTCCCCATCTATTTTTAATAAAAGACAAAGATAACAAAGTAATAAAGTTTTATTAATAATGCTACTTATTTTTTTTACCTAAAACAATACAATACCAGGCATATAATATTTTTAATTTCATTTATTTAAATTAATAGTAAAAACTCATCTTAGAACACCTTCCACATAGAAACTGAAGTGAAAGACACAGGGCAACAAAATTCTCTTACCTGTTGAACCCACTGACCATGTAATGTTGAGGTTAAAGTTGTTTGATGCATTAATCGAAATATCCAAATTTTTGTTTGACTACCAAGAAAAAAAACATGAAGGTTAAAAAACCAACTTATACTACATTAATATGATTAATGTTTTCATCATGTCCATGCTATATTTGTCAAACTCTATAAATTTATCATGACAACATTCAATTGAGTAAGTGCAGATGCCAATTACACTCTTTTAAATAATATAAATAGGTGATCGACTCCGCAGTAGATTTAAGATTCCCATTTATCTTCTCTGCTAAAATCTGACCTTCTGCATGTAAGCCAGTGGCTGCTGTAATTCAATATTTGTATTTTAACTTTCTTCGCTGATCTGTAGTTAATATTTAAATGATACAGGTTTGGATGAGTTCAAAACCTTTACAGCAATACAACAGTATTTTGTTGAAAGGCTTCTTCTTAGGTGCATATTCTAGTATTACACACACTTCTTCTAGTTAAAAAATGCTTAAACTATGTACATGAAAACTTTCAGGCAACAATGATGAAACTGCCTGGGGAGGAAAAAGGAGGCCACATCGTTTAAACGCCTGTACAGAGGAACACTGATGAGTCTGTCAGTCAACCTGTTTTCTTCCTGTCATTTACCAGAAACAAATGTCTGAGAGATTTCTTTAAATGTTTCTGTTATTATCTCACTCCAGGAGATGAGGAACAGAAAGGTCGTAGGACGGTAACTATTTAGTTCTCCAAAAACAGGCAACCACACACAGAAAGATGGTCACATTGGACGAGCTTAGCTTCACGGACTGAGTGTGTTGGGCTGCATTTAAAATACACAATGACTGGTACTAAAAGCTGTACGGATAGGCGAGACCTGGCTACTAGAAAATGTATCAGTAACTTCCTTAATATTACTATCTTTTTCTAAATTAGATAAAACAGGTAAGCCAATAGAAAATATATCTCCAATTTTCTGATTTGACTCAGAGAAAATGTCTGTAAGCAATTAAGCTCCCTGCTTCTGATGTTACATCAGAAACGGTTGTAGGAGGACATTACTGAAATTCGGGACCCTTTCTTGATGAAGAAGAGGAGAAGCAAGGAGCCCCATAAAAGGTCAAGGCTGTTGGATGTGTGGTAGTCGTTCCACTTTAAAGATACATTAAGATCCTTTTTGTTTACCTCAAAATAATATCTACTCTTAATGATCGCCATAGACAGAAGGATAGCTAGGCCTGTAGAGAGCTACTAATAATGTTCGACAACTACCACAGAGCGTCCTCTTCATAGTTTCCAGGAAGAAAATACGTATTCAACAAGAGTGGTCGTCCCCCAAGGACATGCGCAATTCAATGCATGATAATAAGGTTAAATGCCATACAGATTTTTCAGGGTACTGCTCATTAATGCTGCAGAGACAGTATCTGAGTGTTCAAACTAATAAAAAAAAATACAGCCTGGGAGTTTAAATATATATGGTATTTCAGAAGGATTCCACATTATCCACCAGAGTCATAAGTGGCCATGACTGTAAGAAGGAAGTTAACACATTCAGTTCTGTTGATAAGCTGTTCAGATACCTTCCACAATATGTATCACAAAACTGTCCACCTTCTTGAAACCTTGCTATTTCTTTGATAATATGAGTGAAAATGGTTGACACTGATTCCGGACAATGCCACTAATAGGACCCTAGCAATAAACGCAAACTGCTTTTATGTCGGCATGCAGACAGGTCTGTTCAAAACATGACGGGGTTCAGGGGTTCAGGTCTGAGTGTGGTAAAAAAAAACGTCTAGTTCACATCATGTTACATTAAGGAAAGCCCAGAAGTGAAAAGGAGAAAAATCTCTGGTAGCAAAATATTGACTTACATCAATATTTTGATGTAATGAACTAATCAGACCTGAAAACCAATTACTGCCCCATACCCATTAGATCATGCTCATGAGGCAATGAAATAAATTAATGCAGAGGACACACTGTTAAGTCAGACAGTCTTGGGTTCAAATTAGTTCTTTCACATATGTGTTGACTGATTTAGGGAAAGCAACTTGTCTTTCCTGAGAGATCAGTTTCCCTATCTCTAAAGTGAGGATATGATGACCTCCCTAAAGAGTTTCTTGGGGATATAAAATAAGGTAAATTCTCAAAACACAGCATCGTTTCTGGTGACAGTGCTGATAATGGCAGCACTTTTGATATTCTTAGGTCTGGTGACAAAGGATGCCTTCTTCTCTTTCTTCATCCTCCTCTTTACCAAGGGACTCAGGTAAGAGGGAATATTTGTGAATGTCTGAGAAGGAGTTGGTTGTTTATTATTAATGAAGTATTTCATAAAATGGTTTATTTTAAAAAATATGGTAGAAACAGTGAACTCCTAAGAAAGCCTAAATGATCATTTTTACCTTGAACTCCCATCTTCATCATTTGGGGTGGGGAGATCATGAAAATAACTGCTACTGCTTCTACAAAGGTCAAAAAACTTCCGATTGATATAGAAAATTATAAAACTCTTTTTGAGCCCTGGCTGGTGTGGCTCAGTGGATTGAGTGCCAGCCTGCGAACAAATGAGTCACTGGTTCGATTCCCAGTCAGGGCAGGTGCCTCGGTTGCAGGCCAGGTTCCCCAGTAAGGGGCACATGAGAGGCAGCCACACACTGATGCTTCTTTCCTTCTCTTTCTCCCTCCCTTCCCATCTGTCTAAAAACAAAGTATTTTTTAAAACTCTTCTCAAATAATTAGTTTATCCTCTATCAATTCCAAGTATAGGCATTACTGAAATATATGTACCATCATTGAAGCCCTATAAAATGCACTTACAGTCAAGAAAAAAATGCTGGACTGAAAGAAGTGATACTGTGATTACCGCAATAAGTGCCAAAAGTACTCAGAACATTGTTGGTTACATGCAGATAGGGTAGACAAAATCATGTTAATAGAAAACTATCCCAGGAATTGTTGACATGAAAGCACCGGCTAGAAGTGATACATAATTGATTTAAATTAAATCTTTTGTCAAAATGTAAAAAGTGCATAAATAATTAAGTCACCTATTTTTTGTTATCTGTTTTTGTAGGTTAAGTAGAAGGCCCTGATCAATAATCCATATTACTTTCAGAAATTTTTCCAAGTTGAATAACTCTTTAAGTACAAATGATAGTTATATAATTACAAGTTATATATAACAATGTTACAAGCATCCTTCATGGCATACTCTCATGGCAGTTCAGCATCCTTTCAAACGACGGTGTCCAGGTTAGAGGCTTCAACGGGACAAGGCCGTAGACAGTACAGCTGAAAGCTAGGACATGTGGAAGCCCCCAAGGACTGTTGAAAATCAAAGGCGAGGACAGTCAAGAGAGAAGCAAAACTAGAATTATCGCCAATCTGGGCCTGTGTGTAGGATGCTATGGATAATCCTGAAAAGGATCATTCTTTTCACACTTACATTTTAAGTTAGATTAACTCTTCTATCCTCGAGGAACTCTACAAGTTTGGAATCGCTACTAAACATTCAAGAAGCCAATGGTAAAGAATAAAATTCTCACACATGTTACAACATGGGTCGACTCTGGAAAGAGTAGGCTAAGTGAAATGAGCCAGACACCAAAGGTTAATATTATATAAAGGTAAATATGTATGTAAATATATATATATATAAAGGTAAATATATAAAAGGTAAATATGTACTGGAATACGCAAATTCATAGACACAAAATGTCAATGAGGGTTCCCAGGGGCTGGAGGGAGGAGAGCAACTGTGAGCCATTGCTCAATGGGTACAGAGACTGTATTTGAAATGATGCAAAATTTTGGTAATGGATAGCGGTAATGACTGCATAACACTACAAATGTACCTAATGCCATGAAATTTTACTCAAAAGTGGTTAGGATGATAAATTTTATTTTATGTGTATATGTAGTTTCTGACATATCGTGAGTACGTCCAAAAAAACACATTGGTGAAGACAGGTTCGTACCTTTGAAGAAACATCTTTAAAAAATCCTTACTGAAAAGTCAAAATTTTAAATAGGTATTCCTTTAAAAAGGCATTCCTTAAAATCTAGAAAACAAGAAGTAACAAGAAGAGTCACATTAAGTAACTCTTCTATTTTTTTTTGGAAGGAGGTATCCTATTTTACTAGAAAAGGAAAATCTAAGAAATTATATAACTTGTTAAGAAGTCTTATAAAATATTTTAGAGAAAAGAAGCGACCAAATGTCAGGAAATAGTCTGAGGTTTCACCTGTTTCAAAAACTATTAAAATGCATGATACGGATTTAATAAGATAGGTTGATATGTAATGAGACCACACAATGGGCAAGATGACAGGATAAGAAGTCCAAGCCCTCGCCTCCCTACAAAAACACCAATGATATATGGAACAAAACGCCTTCAGGAGAGGACCAAAATCCAGTTAGGAAGTGGCAGTACCAGAGAGGCATGCAAAACTGAAAACTGCCATGTTACAGTGGGTAAGAAGAGCTATTAGCCCCACATAAGCCCCTCCCCCAGGCCAGCAGAGTGGAGCATCAGCACAATCACCCAGACCTGGAATTTCCCCCTCAGGGGAAAGGAAAAAAAGTAGCACATATTCAACATCCTTGACCTTTCATGGCACGACCTCCAGGACTTGTGTCTGTCTCACCTGGCCCAGAGCTCTGGGAGAACAAGCATGGCATGGACATCTAACAGCAGTTATGAACCAGGAAAATAAGTGCAATGATTCTAAGAGGTAAAACTGCAACCAAACAAGACAAAAATAATCTGTACCCCCTGCTATATACACAGAATGGTTTGAGAAAAGTTAAGTGATCTCCCCACCTGTTCTGGGTTCGCTATGAAGTTTATGGCAGTGTGGTGGCGGTCGTCTTCCTGCAGCAAGCTGAAGGTGAACTGGTAGTCGATCAAGAGGCTGTCTGCAGGGAAAAACGCAATCCTGACGTGTCATTTAAAAACTGCTTGAGAAACCAAGTCACGTGAAAACATACTGTATACCAGTATCAGAGATGATTAGCGTTAATTATTAGTAGCCTAAGTCAGACTAGCGAATTACAAATCATGATATTAAGCTACAAAAAGCAAAATATAGATATGGAAGAAGTCCTAATTCTTTAAAAATTGTGATAAAAATTCTATAAACACTGTAAGGCATTCTGGAAACTCCATTAAAGTAAGAATATAAAAAAAGGTCATCCATAATCTTATAACTAGAGAAAAAATACAAAACATTTTGGTGCATTTTATTCCAGTTAAAATTTTGTAAACAGAATGACAGGTAGACATTTTGATGGCAGTAAAATCAAAATTCTTTAAACACATGAATTTTAATAGCTAACATATTTCATCATGTGCTATAATAAATTTACTTGTTCCTTTATTACAGTGATACTTTTTACTTTTAGCAATTTTAAAATGACTCTGTGGTAAAAAGAAGGTAAAAAATATGAACAGTAAAGTGACAGCAAACTCACAATTATGAACAACCACGCCTAAAGCAAAAACAAAAGCAAACTAGGCAAACAACTAGAACAGGAACAGAACCACAGAATGGAGATCACGTGGAAGGTTAGCAACAGGGGAGTGGGAGGAGGAGAGAAGGGGGAAAAGGTACAGAGAGTAAGTAGCATAGACGGTAGGTAGAAAATAGATAGGGGGAGGGTAAGAATAGTATGGGAAATATAGAATCTAAAGAACTTGAGACACGTGGTCATAAACTAAAGGGGGGGGAATGGTGGGAGAGGGGGGTGTGCAGGGGGGAGAGGAGTGAAGGAGGGGAAATGGGAAAACTGTAATAGCATAGTCTATAAAATATATTTTAAAAATGACTCTGTGGTAAACATCATTCTACAGAAATGAGTGCCATTTACAAGTGATTAAAAAGGAATATAGGGGCAAACCATTTATGCCTAACTTTGTCCACATATAACGCCGAAACCCGGTGACACAGTTGAATGTTAAACCTCAAGTGCAGCTTCTCACGTGACATGAGGGCGAAGTATTCCCACAAGGTGCACCGCCACTTTGGTGACTGCAGGGGAGCGGGGCAAGAGTAGAAGGGGACTAAATGGTAATGGGAAAAATAATATAATAAAAAACTGATTTAAGCTAAAAACTAAAAAATAAAAAGACTGAATCTTGGTGGTAGACGCTCAATGCAATATACGGACAATGTATCACAGAAATGTACACCTGAAACCTATATGATCTTATTAACTAATGTCACCCCCAATACACTGAATTTAAAAAAGAAAAAAATACACTGCTACCTTTACGGAAAAATATTTCAAGTTATTTTAAACAGAGATGACTTCTATTTTTTGGATACATGTTATTTTTTTTCATGTTATGCCTTCAGCAATTAAACACTATTACAATAAAAAGTCAAGACAGGAATAGTATCACTGGATTTATTGTTAAAATTACTAAGGCATCATTCCTTACGCTGTTTCCTGTATACTTCGCTAGATCCATCCTATGTATTTCTCATATGATTTAGTGTAAAGGCAACACTTTGTCTTTCTGAGAATTTGTAGGCATCCTTGTAAGTGACAAGAAGAATGATGCAATAAGTCATATTTCCTATTTCCACCTGGCGGCCGGAGAACGCAGAGGCGAGCTCAACAGGCCAGTGTTCTTCTAGGCACTGGAGATACAACAACGAAAGAGAAAACTTTCTGTCCTCATGCAAAGTATATTCTACTGGATGGACATCAAAACTTCATAAATGATTTAAGTATATAATGGATGATGACAAGTGTTTTTGGATAACAACCAATTCATGAAAAGGAAACCACGATTGAGGTAGAAGTGTGCTTGCAATTTTGAGAGGGGACATTTAAAAATCAAAGAGAATAAGAGAATAAAATGTGAAGTTTAGTAGAAAACAATGTAGTCCAGGCAGAGGGAACATGTACAAAAATCGCAAAGAAAGAACCAGCCCTAACTACGATTCTCTGAAGAAGAGGTGATGGAGGCGAGGGCACCAGCAGTAGCTGGGGGTCATGAGAAGACGTCAGACTCATAGAATGTATTTGGAAGGTACAGCAAACGGAATTAACTGAATAAATGGATGGAGCATCGGGAAGAGAGGTAAAGTTTTTTTGACCCAAGACCAAACACAACAGCAGTATTTGCTGAAATGGGTGAAAAGAATAGGTTTTACTTGTTAGGAGTTGGGGAATAATTAGGAGCTTAGTTTTAAAGATGTTAACTTTAAGTTACTAATTGAATATGCAAGTGGTATGTTGAATAGAGTTCATGAGCACGCCTAGTCCGTAACGGTTTGGAAGTTATCGGCATATCAGAAGGAATTTAAATCCCTGGAGCCCAGAAAGCGCCTGCTGGAGACAGAGAAGAGGTCCCAGGCCTGAGCCCTGGGGGGAGCACTGTGAGCCGATCAGAACTCAGGAGGAGCCCGCGAGGGCAAAGTATGAGACAGGAATAAAACCAGTATTTCGTGTTACGGGGCCAAGTAAACAATGTTGCAAACAGAGGAGTGATCGCCCGTCCGCGGCAGCAGGCGGGGGCTCAGAATTAGGGCTGCAATATTGAGGAAAGAGAGAATCTACTCAGAATGAAGGGAAAAAAAATACCACCAGAAAAAGAAAACACTTTGAAACTATTTTCAAGGCCTTGTCTGCATCATTATCTCTACTTTTCCTAGCTTGAAACACAACATTAAGAAGTCGGGAGTAGATAGCCTTTAGGAGGTAAGGTCTGGGTGACTTGGGACACCTGAGCGGCTCTGGCTACAGCTGCAGTGCCCCAGGCCCATGGACACTCTTCTGCCTTTTTGGACTCTAGCCCTCTGCCACGGTCATGTCCCACCGAATTCTTGGTGAGCCTTCACACTTGGTTTCTCTATTCTTAGTTGATAGAGTGGGAGGTACAGGAACAGCACAATGGATAGTATGGACAGTAAGGACCGAGCCTAATGTCGGCTGAGCTGAAAAAATAAGCCTGGCTGAGAACAAAATGAGTAGGAGTATTACTAAATTCAGGTGACTAATAGGAATGCCACTCAGTGAATTATTATCAACTGAAAAAGTTTAGATTTCTACACAGAATGCTTGTTTCCCTTTAAAGCTGCTTGGAATTCCCTTTTAAACTCTTCTAGAAGCGAACTGCACACGTTTCCACTTAACCAGGAGCTGATGTATTTCTCCCCTCAATTTAAACAAAATGCTCATATATTTTTAGGAGTGTTACAAATGAATAATTAATTACCTGGGACTTAAAACATGTACCATATTCCTCAGATTTACTCTGAACTTCTCAGCTAAATAGGGTACAGGACATAAAACATTAAAATTTAAAATATGTCAGGTTTGTGCAAGTACACATATTTTGAAAATAAGTTTTTATACTGCTTTAATGAACCACTTTATTATTATGATATAAAGAGAAAGAATGAGTATAAATCAACTAAATAACTTACGGTATTATCGATAAACAGAGAAAAAGTAGCAGGAGGACTAAGTGTGATAAAGTGAGGGGAGAAGCTTATTTTTATTTTGGGAAAAACAGCATGTTTTTATACCGATCCACATAAATAAGAATTCAGTAGAAGAAAAAGTTGAAGAGATGGAAAAAAATTTAGAACAACATCCTAAAAGGTAGGAAGTAGGTAAAAGGCCATAACCTTGGAACTCAAGGGAGGACCCAACAGTCTCGAGGGATAGTGAGTTCCCTGGGTTTGAGAGGGTTTTTAATTTGTTTTCACTTCCTGTATATCCCCACCTGGGAGCTAGAGCAGCTACAGTCTGGAGACACCAACAAATTCACACCCCCCAAAAGCCCTAAGAAAATTCTGGCGCTGAGACTGCAGTCTGGGGCCCTGTAAACCTCACCCATCACCCATCCTGCACTCAGGTCGGCAGAGGTGCAGCCTGCTGTGCGGCAGGAAACACAGGGAAGTGTTAAGGGGTAAGCAGACACTTCTTAAGTTGTATTATGTACACTGCAAAAGTATATATACTGTAAATGTGAAAGTATGTATTTTATATTTTATATGAAAGTATACAAGAATGTTAATAAAATGAGAATGGTTTGTGTGACATCAATGTACCCTGGCAGTCAAGGAGAGTGGACTGCGATGCACACGCCTGAGCAATGACGACTTCATTGTCCTGGTCAGTGGGGGCAGGAGATGCCATTTAGGGAGTGCATGTGCTGTGTGGCCATCACATTCAAAATGGCTGAGCAAGTAGAGCAATGAATCTGCACCACATTTTGCATTAAGCTTGAACATTTCCGCATTACACAGATATTATTCTGACGATTCAGAAGGCCACGGCTATGGGTCCCTGGTGATTGGCAGCTTCCTCACAACTTGTCCACTCATGCATCATGTCTCATGCAGAGATTTTTGGCAAAACATCAAATCACCTAGGTGATTCAGGCCCCCTACAGCCCAGATTTGGTGCCCTGTGACTCCTGGCTTTTCCCAAAATTAAAATCACCTTTAAAAGGAAAGAGATTTCAGACTGTCAATGAGATTCAGGAAAATACAATGGGACAGCTGATGGTGACTGGGAGAACTGTGTGAGGTCCCAAGGGGCCTCCTATTTTGAAGGGGACTGAGATGTCATTGTCCTATGTACAATGTCTCTTGTATATTGTATCTCCTTCAATAAATGTCTCTATTTTTCTTATTACATGGCTGGGTACCTTCTGGACAGACCTTGTATATGATACTTTTCAGCATAATTTAAATTTTCATAATTAGTAAAGGATAAACTATATTTTGCATGTTTAAATATATTATTGACTAGAAACAATTATTTAAGAAATTTGAGTATAGAGAAAATGTCAAAGAGATATATTTCAAAGCTTAAAAACCATAAACACTATATAAGTCAGTCTTTTGATTTTACAGATCAAGCCCTAAAAGTTAGAACAACTGTAAATGATACAG